ATTGCTGCTGCCTCTGATGTTGTTGCATGATCAATTGTTGCTGCAACTGTTGTTGCTGCTGTGGTTGCTGCTGGTAGGGCATTTGCATCATTTGCGGCGTCTGCTGTTGAGGCTGCAACGGCGCCTGTTGTTGTTGCTGCTGCTGCTGTTCCAGTGGCGCTTCTTGCAACGTGTTGAGAGCGTCTCTCATGTCAACCGCCGATAGATTGTCCTCGATCAGATCCAAGTCCAGATCCTTGGCGTCTTGCAGCAGAGATTCTAGCTCGTTCTTATCTTCCAAACTGAGTGTGGAGTCCAGATCACAGTTCAAAGTGGGCAACAGGGCGTCCAAATCGTTTGTGGTCAGGGCATCGAGCACGGAAAGCGATATTAAAGAATCGACCTGACCAGGAGCCTGACCTGCAACCTGTGGCTGTTGAACCTGACTTTGTTGTTGCTGCGTCGGCAGCGCAGGAGGCGGCAACTGTTGCTGTTGTGGCTGCTGCTGCTGCTGTTGCGGCTGTCCCGGCAGGCTGACTTGCTGCTGCTGTTGCTGAAGATTGTACTGCATCTGGTAACGCGTGAATTCCTGAAAACTACTCTTGGTGGCCGAGTCCATCGGCTTATTGATCCCGGCCAGCGGCCAGCGAGAGTTGGCTGCCGCCTGATTGTAATCTGGTGGTGGAGCTGCAGGTACGTGTTGATTGGCTGGCATGATTTGTACAGCCATTTCGCTGGGAGCAGTAGGTCCAGGTGTTGCCGCAGGCGACACCATCTGCGGCTGCTGCTGCGCCTGATGATTGGACATCAGCGGACTGTGCATCGAATGGTGACTGGAGGCGGGCGAGAGGGCGGGTCCAAGGGGCGAGGCTCCGCTCATGAATTGCTGTTGGGGTGACGCTTGCGGCATGGACAGGCCCATGAGCCGCTGCTGTTGCTGTTGCGGATGAGGCGGCGGAGGAGCCAGCGGCAGTCCGCCGGGTCTCAGTTGATGTCTTATCTGTTGCTGTTGCATGGGACTCATGCCCATGTTGTTGAAGCAATCTGTTAGAAGGGAAATATACAGGTTAGAAAAAAGTCTATGCCTATGCACGCCTTAATAACTTTGATGGTCATCAAAAAGGCATGTGACATCAAGTCGTAAAGGCATTAAAGTGACGCTTACCGGGCGCAGGCTGATACTGTTGCTGTGGTTGCTGCTGGCCCTGTAATTGCTGCTGCGGTTGCATGAATCGCATCTGCTGTTGGCGCTGAAGTTGCTGCTGTCGCAGGGCCACAGCCTGTGGCGACATTTGCTGATGTTGCTGTTGAAAGCGAATTGGTGGTCCTTGCTGCTGTTGTTGTGGTTGCTGCTGCTGACCCTGCTGCTGTTGCTGAGTATACAAAAGATTGCCATTGCCGCTGGGACTGAGCATGGCCTGCTGATGTTGTTGTTGCTGCTGCTGCAGATTCCGCATCACCACGGGCGGCGGGCAGGGAGGAGCCGCCGCCTGGGGCGTTGTGGGTGAGGAAGGCACCACCGGACTCAGTACGTCACCCATGAGAAAATCGCTGGGCGTCGCAGGACCGGAGGATCGCATAGGGGAGTTCATCATCTGCGCTCCACTGGGGCTCATTCCAATCAGCGGCGACTGCTGCTGCTGCTGTTGGGGCGACTTGAGCTGGTTCGGATTCGACATGCCATTGCCGTCGTTCTGCAGCAGATTCACAAGCAGCGGCGACGATATGGCAATGTTGTTGCTGCCCGTCGACGTCGCCGTAGGCAGCGGCGGATGCCCAAGCGGATGGTTCAGCTGGCTGGGTGCCGTCACAATGGCTGGCTTGGCACTAGCGCCCGCTATGGCAATGGGTGAACTGACGCTGCTGGCCGTGGCAGCACCCAAACCCGGATATGGCGGCGGTGGTGGCTGGATGAACTGAGATTTGCTGCCGGGCGGCGTTGGTGCAGCTGGCGTTGGCGTTGTGGGTGTCAGCTCGCCATTCTGAGGTGCCTGCTGCGTTTGCGTCTTCAGCACCTTTAGTGTTACATTTGGCGGAGGAGGTGGCGGTAGGGGCGGACCCAGGCCGCCCGCCTCTCGACCTTGCAGCACTCTCGCCTGACGCATGCTCTCGAAGGGAAAGTCCCGCGTGGTGGAGGGAGATGGTAGCAGCAACGGCACCTTGCCCTCCATGGGGCACACGGTATTGGGGGATTTGAAGACGGCGGGTGTCACGGCCACCTGCTGCTGCTGCTGTTGTTGCTGCTGCTGCGTGGTCTGGAGGGGCATCTTCTGAAGTCCAAGGCCCGCCGCCGCCGCTCTTCTTTGCTGGAGTGAGATTGCATCGTTTTGGGGCTGTTGCAGGATTCTCTGCTGCTGCTGTTGCATAAAGGCGGAAGCCGCCTTGCTCGTACTGGGGCCATCGAATCCCGTGGCCAGCAGACCACTTTTGTTGCCGGAAAGCGAGCCAGCCGCCTCAAGTGTCTCGTTTACATTATCTACGAGAAGGGATTACCCAGGTTAATTGTTTGTTTAGAGGGCATTTGCTAATACTACTCACCCTTGGTTATCTTAATATCTTGTCCACCAACTTTTAAATTTATCACAGAATCGCCCTCGAATTGCACGGACTGAATGTTGAGGGCGCGCAGCTCCGGATTTCCATCGTTGGCCAGCTGGCGCAGCCGTTGTGCTGCGTCCCAGGGTAGCGAGACCAATATCCGCACCAGTGACGGTTCAAGCTGCTGCAAAGTGGCACACATGTGAGACATTTTGCAAATTTACAACATTTAATTAACATTTAAGGAGCCGTATAGGAAGAGAAAGAAGAAGAGGGACAGTGAAATTGCTGGCGATGGCCAGTATTTGTTATCGATATCTATCCAGCGAGGGTTTGCAGCCCTGGTTCACGACACGCAAACATATAAACACCAAATTTATGCGAAAACACAATTCTGAACCTTATTTATAAGTTTCATTTACCTTCCATAGCTCTGTCATGCTTGAATGTATTTATTTCTTATATATTTACTATATTATTTGCATTTCTCGTTTTATTTTTGACCCTGCGGTCTCTGGTGCAAGAGAGGGATGGCCATAGTGCACTCATTGGAAATTCCAACAACAATTTGTTTCGACAACAGTCCCCAAAGATAATATGCTTGAATTGAGTAACCCAAAAGACATTTCAGCTGACTGCATTTTCCACGCGCGGCGGCCCAAAAGGGGGCGGGGCAGCTGGTGCCCACAGGTTGCATTTTCTCATGCGTGCGTGCGTTTTCCATTTCTCTCTGCGGAACGTGTTATCGATACCCCGACTTCGTCGCCATTTTTCTTCTTGGCCTCTTGGAAGGCGGTGCGCTGGTGTGTGTGTGTGTGCGTGAGCTGGGTGGGCAAGTGTGTGTGGCAGAGGGAAAAGGTAACCAAAATACTTGCTTGGAACTAAGGCAGGGGGTAAAAAGGGGGCGGCTGATTAATAAAATAAAAAAAGGGGGGAAACAGAAAGAGATAAAAAAAAAAAACACGGGAAATGCGAGATTCTACACACTTAAAACCAACCAATTAGTTCGCCCTTTTCGCCGCCTATTGTTTTTGTTTTTATCCCCGTCTCTGAGTGCGTGGGTGACGCAAGTGTAAAATGAGCAAAAGGCAAAAACAGACAAAAAAGAAAAAAGAGAAAAGGGGGGAAGAAGCCCACTTGAAGTGCAATAATCGCAAATCAGCTGTTCTGTTGCGCTCGCTTAAAAAGCGAAACACGATAAACTCAACTCACCTGTTTAAGTGGCATATCATCACACGACAATCGCACGCGTCGTAGGTTTAATTGGTAGAACGCTGCTCAATTCTCGCATTTAGCTTTCGATTGACCGCCGTGGCGTCCTTTGGATTGGAATTGTTGAACCAATTGCATTTTAGGCATAACACTCGATGGCTTCGGTTTATTGTCTTTCGATGTATTCCGCATTCAGTTTTTAACCTCTGCGACTTGGTTTTTGGGCATTTTCCACTATTATTTTTTTTCTTCTCCCCTTTGCTTATGACTTTTTTTTTAGTAGTAGCCTCACCAACACACACACACATGCACTGCAACACACACACTCACACACGTGCGGGGCGCGGATACGGATTTTCCTGCGTCACTTTTCAAGCGCTTTTCCTGCTGGGAATCTTGCCTGCCCGCTTTTCAATTACTGTTTAGGGCAAACTGTATGCATTTGGGCCCCCACTGTTCTCCATTTCACATTTGCTGGCCAAATAGTAATGCCTGTTTAGCGGAACTCGAAAATTTTCACGCATTCGGGCAACCGATTTTCGGGGGCTTAATTTCACACGGTTCGATTGTGTGCGGGCACTCGATAAACGCACTGATTGCTGTCGAAAGATTCGCGCTTGCTTTTCAGACGTCAATTGGCGTTGCAACGAGGCGTTTATCCTGTTTATTTTGTACAAAAAACTTCGTAATTATTAAATTTCCACGAACAATAACAAGCACACAGTGGTAGCCATTTTTATTTTCCAGCCGGTGTTGCCAGAAGATCGAGGGCCGAAATTCCCTAAATTTTCCGGCATATTTGTGGTTTTCAGGGCTGCGAAGTAAGTTGCATTGGAAATTTTGCTCAAGCAGGGTTGTCAATTGCTTGGCAATCTGAATTTAAATTAAATAATGCCACAGTGTAATATATATACAAATGATTAAGATTATTTTAAGATCGTATCTTATTTTCGAGCATGTGAAGTAAACATAAATGTTAAGTAAACATCTTTTAAAAAGGTTCAATATATAATTTCCATTTATGAATATCTATCCTGCTTAGAACTGCAGATTACAGCTGAGCTCATAGCATTAAGATTCAAAATTAAAGAAAGGTTTTACTTAAAATATTGTGTCTTAGGTCTGCGGATTAAGCAGAAAAGAAGAATTATGCAAGAAATTATGCAATCATATTGGCTAAGTACCGTGTTAAATTTTAATATAATTTTTTAATTTTCATGTAACTAATCGATAGTTTTGCGAATACTGCCACCCTCACTGAACGAACGATAGTATTGAATAGAACTTGAGTTAGGTTCCATCTCTATCTCTGATTCTGAAATTGCAAATGTGAGTACATAACAAGGTTTTTCTTTAATAAAACAAGTTTCAAGGGTTTTTGGACTACAAATAAAGTAATTGTATACCACATTGGCAGACCATATTAAGTTCATAAGTTGCTGGGGAGAATTAAGTAGTTGCTATGCGTTTTATGACAGCTGCCTTTGAGCACCTTACGTAACTACCGAGCAATATAATTGATTTTTGTGATTTTTCATCCTTTTCAGCATTATGGCCAACACTCCAGCCACCTCCTCTGCCGGACCCGTGCTCCGTGGTCTCCACAACGCCACCATCAAGCGTAACCTGGCCATTTCCCTGGGACTGACCGCTCTGGTGACCGTCGCCTACAAAATTCTGGTCAACGATCCCAAGAAGGCCGCGTACGCCGACTTCTACTCGTAAATATAGCTTACATATGCCATATGAGCCATCCATTGATCTGGTTTATCCCTTATCGCTGCAGGAAGTACGATGCCAACAAGTCCTTCGAGCGCATGAAGGCCGCCGGTCGTTTCCAGTCCTGCTAGGCTATGTTATCCGGAACACAAGTAGTCTAAGTCAAAAGATGTTGTAGAGCAAGAGTTGCGCTTCTGTATTGAAAACTAAATAGATTTCAGTCTACGTATGTGCACGAAGGCCTTTTAATTTGGATCTATGTTGTATTGCTATCAAGAGTTGGAGTGATTAACAAAATGTGAAGACAAATTATGATTATATTCTTTATTATTTACTCGTATTTACAAACTTAGCCAAGTAATGCACAAAACAAACACACAAAACTATAAGGCCGCACACCGACTGCGGTCACGGAACACATCTAAAACCTAATGGCAAAGTCCTTGTAGTCCAGTCGGCTGAGGTTGCCCTGGTTCCGGACCTCACAGCGATCGATTTGGCAGCCGGGAGAGCCCTCAGTGGACAGCCAGGTGATCCTAAGAGGAGATTTCATCGGGAATATGAGCGTGGAAAGTGTAAATTATACGGGGTTACCCACATCTTGTCCACCTCCTCCTTGGGCCCCTGCATCTTGCCCACAATGGTGCCCTGTTTGCTGTTCTTCACCCAGCCAGTAATTCCCGTCTTGGTGCAGCGATCGCGGGTGTCTTTCGTGAGATTCAGGCCTGCCGGTTGAAAAAGCAGAGGTATTTGTTTTATATAGTCTAGCGCATGTGGAATGGGGCGTGAAACAAAGCCAAGGACAGTTTGGGGCCCCAAAAGTAACTAGCTACTGAAAGTTTATTTTTAGGCAACCAACTGAATGAGCTGTGTTATGCCTGGCCCTCGATTCCCGATTCCTATTGCCCTTGAGATCGCACCTTGTACATGTCCATAGACCTCAAAGTCCAGCGTCACCAGCAGTCGGATATCCGGAATGCCCATCTCGATCGACTTCGCACTTTACCAAATGCGCACGTTGGTTATGTAAATTTGGCAGCAAACTGCTCGATTTTTAAGATTTGCCTGATTTCAGCACTTTACTCGCACTTGAAATTGGTTTATTTTCTACAAAAACTGGAATCCCCAATTAAGCATATATATTTTTTGAAAAATATTTTACTCGGAGCGATTTTTTTCCGCCGCGATCGCTAGCTTGATTTTCAGCAAACCGTCGCAAATTTAAAACTAAAATGCCAAGTAGCATATCAATTGGTTTCTATTTTGCGTTTTCGATTTTGTATTTGCGTATTTATTTTAGCCGCACATTGCATTCTGCCTCTTTCTATATGTTTTTGTTGTTATTCTAGAGAAGAAAATACAAATACAATTTGGGAATCTTTTGGGACGGTCACAGATAGTTGATTCTGGTGGTCAGTATCTGAAATTTGGGTGCGCTACAGGGGTTATTCGAGAAAGATCTTAATTAAGTGGTATGGAAAAAGTTCTAGAATCTGAAAAAAATCAATATCTATAATATCTATAATCTGTATATAGCATCAAAATCGTAGGATTCGGTTCCTTATTAGACATATGTATGACTGCATATTGTTCAATTTGGCAATAAAATGGTGCATTTTCGTCGCGTAAAGAAAACTTATTGATCCGAAACAATGCACAGACTTTGTTTCTGGGACCCCGTCGATTTCGCTTTCTAATGCACCTATATAATGCACCTATGAGAAATGTGAGGAATGACAAGTTCATAGCAGGCGCATAAGATGGGCCCTGAGACTTTTATAAGACCAGACGACAAGTGCAGTGCTTTGTATTCTTCTTTAAAGAAAGGGAAATTTATCTATGCAATGAAGAATAGTACGTAAACTACGATGTATTTAAACGAATATTGTCCTTGTATAGGAATTCGTCCTCGTAGATAAGGAAAGCGGAAAACACAACCCAGAATATGAAAATTAGGGGCTATAAATAAGTTTGAACACATTAAGATAGAATGCTATAGTCGAGTTCCTCAACTATCAGATACCCGTTACTCATCTAGTGGAAGTGCAAACCAGAAATTTCAACATTTCCTGGAATACCGGTAGAAATTGGGGAAAAGTAATAAAATGAAAAAAAAACTTAACAATTTTTTAAAAGTGTGGGCGTGAGAGCTTTATGCGATTTGTGGGCGTTAGAGTGGCCGTGGCAACATTTGGAAACAAACTTGCGCTGCGTCATTGTCTCTGAAGCTGCATGCTTAATCTCAAGATTCTAGCTTTTGTAGTTCTTGAATAGGATAGGAATAAGATACAGAAAAATTACAAAAAAAATTAAAAAAATAAATTTTTAAATTTGAATGCAGATGTTTAGAGAATTGTGCCAGAAAGATTTAGAGGTATGCCACTTCAAAATCCGATTAAGATAAGTTGAGTTATGATGTTTAGAACTTCAGCTTTATGACGTTTTTTTACATTTTTTGAGTTTCTACAACATCATACATCAGAAAAATTACAAAAAAATCTTAAAAAAATTAATTTCTAAATTTGAATGCAGATGTTTAGAGAATTGCGCCAGAAACATTTAGAGGTATGCCACTCCAAAATCCGATTAAGATAAGTTGAGTTATGGAGTTTAGAACTTCAGCCTTGGGGCATTTTTTATTTTATTGAGTTTCTACAACATCATTCATCAGAAAAATTACAAAAAAATCTTAAAAAAATTAATTTCTAAATTTGAATGCAGATGTTTAGAGAATTGCGCCAGAAACATTTAGAGGTATACCACTCCAAAATCCGATTAAGATAAGTTGAGTTATGGAGTTTAGAACTTCAGCCTTGGGGCATTTCTTAATTTTTTTGAGTTTCTACAACATCATTCATCAGAAAAATTACAAAAAAATCTTAAAAAAATTAATTTCTAAATTTGAATGCAGATGCTTAGAGAATTGCGCCAGAAACATTTAGAGGTATGCCACTCCAAAATCCGATTAAGATAAGTTGAGTTATGGAGTTTAGAACTTCAGCTTTATGACTTATTTTGCATTTTTTGAGTTTCTACAACATCATTCATCAGAAAAATTACAAAAAAATCTTAAAAAAATTAATTTCTAAATTTGAATGCAGATGTTTAGAGAATTGCGACAGAAACATTTAGAGGTATGCCACTCCAAAATCCGATTAAGATAAGTTGAGTTATGGAGTGTAGAACTTCAGACTTGGGATATTTTTTAATTTGTACATCAGGGAAATTTCTTCGAAATCTACGTAATAGTAAACTCAAGATTAAAAGGGCTTACACAGCCTAACCAGCAATCGTTTTTAAAATTATTGAGAAACAACAGTTCTTGGAATGCAAACAAAATAATTGTTGATTTTGCATATTTTAAATGCTTATGATTAGTGGAAGAACGAGTATAAATATGGTTCGAATGCTCAGCTAATTATCAGTTTCAAGTTTGAAAGCCAAGCCTGCAATATGAATCCTGCAATTTACTTGAGGTAAGTGAAAGGATTTCCCTTAAAATGGTATCTACATTTAAATATAATAATCTTTTTTTAAGCTGCCTTGTGGTTTTCTCCCTACTTTTGCTGGGGAAAGTAAATGCTGAAGACGACGATGAATTTCGTACAGAAAAGCAGCGCTTACTTCGCGTGTATGGTGATTCTTCGGTTGATGAAGCCACCAGATACAGGAACGTCGACGACCTGGTCAAATTCTACGACAAGTACTCCACTCTCCTTCCTTGGAAACCGGATTTAACACAACGGGCCCAGGATCTCTTGAGGCGGTACAAGGAGGAAACCGCTCGTGCGGTTTTGGTGGATGGTGCTCCGGCTCAAGGCGGATTCTGGCTGCCCCTGGTGAAGCTACTCATTGTCCAGCTGGGCGTTGAAATTGCCTCCGAAGGATTCAAGCGAGCTATTGAATCTTAATCATTCATTGTGAATCAAATTAAATTGGAAGTTTATTCAATATCGTGTCAAAATATGTAAATAAACCTTGAGCATTTCAAGTTTTGTTTGTCCCTTCTTTTTAAAATTTTCTATTTTAAAAAGAAATGGCCTTCAAGCTCTTAATAAAGTTAATAATACGCCCAGCCGCCCTGACAAATATTCAAACTTCCCATTTTGGTTTGGTTATATATTTTATATGTAGTATTTACAAATTAATTTATTTGTTACTTGCGATATATGAAAATACCAATGTACAATGTTTATACTCGTAGTTGAATCGTTATCACTTAGCTAAATGTGAGTGGGTGAGGTTGCCTTCGTCACCAGGTTAAGGTTTGCAAAGCAAACCTGCTGTGGAAAATGCATACATACTTAAAGTCTAGATACGTCGATCCTTAAAATTCTGTACAGTTTGGGATTTGCGATCGGGATAGAGACTACATCTATGGGTAATGCTAAACAACTGACTCTTAAGTAAGCTCGATACGATTAAGCATAGGCGATTACAACTAGTTTACCAGGATGCCAGGAATCCGGATCCCTAAACGATCTGCACGGCGGCATGTGGCTTCTCGATGAGGCTGCTCTGCGCCTCCTTGTCCTTCTCCGCATTCCGGCCCAGCGAGACGTGCTCCGGCTTCAGATAGTAATGCGGCGGCGGAGGCTGCGATGTGGCCTGCTGGCCGGCCTTCTTCCGGCGCTCGCGGAGGAAGTGCAGCCGCACATAGTTGATGGGTATATCGACGCTATCGGCGCCCACGCCCTCTGCGTCGATAAACACGCCGCGCACCAGGATGGAGTTGGCGCACTTGAGGGCAGCGAGGAGCAGGAACGGCACGATGTGAGTCAGCCAGAAGCTCAGCAGCTTGTTATCTGAAGGATACCGCAATAATAGTAAGAATAAGCTTAAAGAGATGAGCCTAATATATTTCCCACCTGGATACAGATACACATCCAGCAGATTCCAGATACCGCGCCAGGCATTCACAGCCCCAAAGAAAGTCATCAGATAGTAAATGTCGCATATGATCAGCTTGAGGATTCCGCTGATCCGACGACAGACGTACCGCATCAGTGGATGAATGAGGAACGTCACAAAAACCGTCAGATATCCAATGAGCTATACAAAGAAAAGGGACTTCAAGTACTGGTTATGGAAAGGCACTAACAGCGATCCCTACCAGCGAGCCCCAGGCCGACTTGGCCTTGTCCGCCGGGAACAGCAGCAGGTCAAAGATTCCCCAGACTCCGCGCCAGGCGATGACCACCAGGGTGCCGATCACAAAGACCGAGAAGAGGGTGTCCAAAATGTATAGGCCCGGT